AGAAAAAGGTTGAGTTTTATGAAAAACTCTTAATGAATTCAAATCCAAAGTTTGGATGGTCCTAGTGAGAAAGACATATTGAATTCACCGACTAAAGAGGTTGAATATTTATTCTTAATGACTTCTTATCCTAGAGTTTGGGTGGTTCATTTTTAATAAACTTGAAGAGAGTCATCATACCCTCTGTGAAGGTGAGCTGTTGTATAAGCTCTTAATTATTTTATAGTCCTATTAAGGGTAGTTTATGTTGAGCTAAACTTGATGAAATAAACTACGTAAGTGAGAAGGGTTAACCACATTCTATGAAAAATGTTGGGTCGTTTTTCTAGCACACTTACTAGAGTACTAAGGTAAGATGACCAAATATATACTTTTGTATATATATATATATATTCAGAGAAAATTCGTAAGGAATTTTCACAGAACAAAAGAAAGGATTGTGAATGAACATTTCTTCTGATATTTATAGGGTGCCCAAGAGGTCTGCTTGAATTTAATAATTTCATATGGTAACAACTAATATTGATTTCTGAAATAATAATTCAAACGGTCAGTTTTTAATATTAACCAGAGAAACGTTTGGATGAACCTGGACTATTTCACATCCTTCTTCAAGATAAGGAAAAACCTGTTAATGGGTCGGTTACAAGAGTTACAAAAATTTATTTATGGAGTTAGAAATGGATTGGATTTTACAAAATGAATCTGGACGTGCTGGGGTAGGTTCATTGTGATATTTCAGTAGTTTCATATAATTAATATCAGGAGTTACAAAAGGTTTAAATTTCTGGAATTAAATCAAAATTTTAATTCTGATTTTTCTTGGACTCTTTTATCTTGGACGCATCCTATAAACAGAGAGCTCATTTGGCTTCTCAACTCATCCAATAATTTACTCAAACATATCTCAACTCTCTCAAAGTTTTCTAAGCTTCTGAGTCTTTCCGGCGATCAGAGGAGCAGTAGCATCAACAGTCCACTCCTGTTCCGGGTATACGGAATTTGGAGCGACCGTGCTAACCTCAGGAGACGATCCGCCTATTGGAGCGATTACACACTCGGAGTGATTTCATTTCTAAGGCAATGATTTTTAACACGAGACGGTTTCGGTTGATTCGATTTAATTATTTATTTTTCAGTCAGTGCTAACGGTGTGATTTTGCAGCCAATATTACCAACAATAGGAAGGTATGTACATTTAACGTCAGGTACTGTTCGATGAAAATGAATTTCTTTTTGCTTCTTTGGTATATGATCCTGCCCTGGAGTCCCCTACGAGCAGATTATGAAAAAGCTGAAAGATCATGTGATTGCTTTATGCACAACCAATTGCAGCCCTAAGGACCCTAAACCAAGCATAACAATTTTTAAAAATAGATAACATTGTTTTGTATCAATAAGCATTCTAGAGCTATATTTTTTGTTGACGTCAATAATTAACTTATTTTTCAGTAGTTATATAAATAAAAAGGCCAACGTAAATGTTTTATTTTTTATTGATAAAAGATATTTATACTTTTAACTATAATAAATTTTAAAAGTTCTTTAAGTTATGTACATGTAAAAGAACAAAGAACGCTGCATTTAAGAGCCAAAAGTCCATATCAATTATATGTGGGGCTTGATCAATTTCGGCACAAAATACGGCTTAAAAAATGCAGATTTGAATTTCTATATCAAAACTTTTGAGGGTCCATTTTGCTGGTTGACCACAGTAGTTGCGGAACAGAGTTAGCGCAAGTGAGGGTCATGGTCCCTCTAAAATTTGAAAATTTTAATTTTAGACCTTTAAAATTTAAAACAAATTAGTTTGGTCCCCACAAAATTTTTAAAAATTCATATTAAGCTTTAATTTTTTAACGTTCTTAATTAAATCCCTCCTGTAATTTTTAAAAATACTCATTAAGTCTCTCAAATTTTCAAAAAATTTAGTTAGACCCCAATATTTTTGAAAAAAAAATATAAACCGAACACTTCAAAAATTTTAATTTAAACATCTAAAAATTTTAAAGTTTTAAGTTACTCCTCCCCCAAACTCTATATATAGATTTTTTTTCTCGACAACTTATCATTTTATTATAAAAAAGGTAAAAAGGCATCAAGGCCTCGAACTTTATTAAAAAAAACTAATGTGGCCCCTATCGTTTTTTAATCAATGTGGTCCTGCAACTTGGAAAAAACTCAATGTGACCCTTTAACTAAAACCGTGTGTTATTAACCAATGACGTCGTTAAATCCTGCTGACGTAGCAAGTTTTCCGTCCGTCTTATGCTTAAAAGAAGAAAAAAAGTGTTGAGGAACCAATTGTCGGTGACCACAGACGTCGCCTCCTCTGGTGGCCATCGCAAACAAATGAGCAAGGTCAGACTGTTTTGGTCCCCCGAAGTGGAATATGTCGTCCGTTTTTCCAAAAATCGTCCCGATCGTCATAAATCTACAAAAATAGTTTTTGGTTGATGCGGGTTTCATCTCTCTGATCTTTGTCATTTGCCGTGGGATGAAGCCACCTCCACAATATGTTGGTCGCACCGTCGTGGGTAACATCTTCATCGTTCGGATTTACCAACGACCATAAAAAACGTCACGATTCGATACGCAAATATTCACTGCAAGTGCGAATTTGCTCGCGATGACCACCAGAGGAGGCGGCGACGACGATCACCGGCGATTGGTTTCCGGTTCAACACTGTTTTCAAGCATAAAACGAATGGAAAACGTGTCATGTCAGCATGATTTAACGGTGTCATTGGTCAATAACGAAAAACGTTGGTCAAAGGGTTACATTGAATTTTTTTTCTCAAGTTGGAGGGCCACATTTTTTTAATGGATAGAGGACCACATTGATCCAAAAATAAATGGATCACATTAAGGTTTTTTTTTTAAGTTCGAGAGACCTTCTTGCCTTAAAAAAAATAAGAGATATCTACAAAAGAAAAGAGACTACAGTTAAATACCTAGATATATTACATCAGTTATCATTATTGACAATGATCCATTACGTTATAATATATGTTTAAAATATTTCTTAATTATTAATAATATTGTAATTGCTTAAAATTAAATTAAAAAAAATAAAGCTCGAATTTAATTGTTATGACCCCTTATAGATAATCGAATTATAAATTCGAAAAGCAAAACGATGTTTTTTTTTGGCAATAATGGAGAAAGGAACATTTTTTTTTTGGCAATTACCCGTAACGGGCAGCGTGATATTTTTCTTCTTCTTTTGCATATTATAAAGGGTAAACTACTGGACTGGTCACTTTCCTTTCATATTTATACATTTTCACTCACTAAATTCAAGAAACATAAGTTTTGGTCCCTTACATTGTAGATTTATTAAATTTTAGTCACTTGTGTTATCAATTGTTACATTTTGATTATTGATCCATTATCTCCATTTAGTTTGATGACATGACAAGTTCGTCAAAAGGGATTAATTTTTAACTTTACCTCTAAACTTTAATAGAATATACTAGTTATACCTTGAACTTTAAATGAAGTTATAGCTTGAACTTTAGATGAAACATCATTTTGATCTTTGAATTTTGGATAAAATGTCAATTTGATCCTTCAATTCAACTAAAATCTCTCGTCCCCGCCACCACCCACCATCGTCCCATCACCACTCACCACTGTGAACCCCGATTGACATCTACCATTGTTACCATTATTTGTTAGACCCTAAAATTTAAAATTCACTCATTTTCAACCTTCTAAATATAAATATAGTGTTTATTTCACCAAAAAATAATTCAGAACTCGAAAAATTTAACCTAGAATCCTTAAACAAAATTAAACTATAATAATACAGTTATTGTTATAAATATTTTAATTTTTTTTAAAATTTAGATTAATTGAAAATTTATTTTTTAAAATATAATAAATTAATTGAATTAATTTGATTTTTATAAATTTAATATTAAATGTGAGTCAAAATATAACTTTCCATAGTTGATTTATATATAAAACTCATAATATTTGAATTTTGTTCCGATAGTTTAACTCGAATTGAAAACTATTAAAAATTTTTTTTGGGACCATTTACAAGCTAATTCGAATTATAATTGATAAACATAAAAATAATATAGCAATATTATAACATAAATTTTACGCACTTTATTATTAGCTAGATTTAGATTTTTAGTGTTTTATTTTAAAGGAATATTAATAATAAATTTATGGTTAAAGTAATTTGAAGGGTTATAGGTAAGATTTGTTGAGTTTCTAGTATTTTTTTTTAGTGAAATAGACACTAGATTCGTATTTAGAATATGAAAAGAGAGTGAATTATAAATTTTAGGGTCAAATAGTCGACAACAACGATATCCAATGTTGATTGATGGTGATTAACAGTGATAGTTATTTGTTGCGGTAAAGGTGAGAGGTTTTAGTCGATTTCAATGATTGGATGATATTTATATAAAGGTTAGGGGTTAAAATGATATTTTATTTAAAGTTCAAGGTCAAACTAGTATTCTATAAAAGTTCAGGGGTTAAATTAAAAAGTTAACCCCTTTCACTAACATGCCACATCATCAAATTGGCAAATAACAACTTAGTGACCAAAATATAACAATTGATAACATAAGTGACCAATACTTAATTGTTTTGAATTTACTGAAATGTAAAAATATTAAAGAAAAGTGACCAATCCTATAGTTTACCCTATAATAAATGTGAAATAATAACCAAATAAGAAAATATTTAGGGCACAATAATTGCATTCGACCGTTGGCTCTTTTCTTTTTGGTACCCTCAGTATACTTCTCGAAAAATCCTATTGACTGGAGCGGCCAATTTATATTGAAAAGACTAAACTACCCTCAATTTCCCACTCCATCAAATAAACTCGTATAAACATAAAAGGTTATCTTCGGCATCTCAGGTAAACAAATTCCCCCTGATACTTTTGTCAAGGAATGAAGCCAAAATGTCAAAAGTAAAGCATCCATAGCTCAAAAGCTTACTTTTTTTTCCTGCTTCAAGCAGTTTTCTCTGTTTGATTCATGTTTTATAAGTCTTGGTTTAAGTGTTTGGTCTTTTCATGGATGGTTCAAATAAAGTGGTGGAGAGCTTAGAATCTCTATGGTTTTTCAACAATGTGCTCACTTTACCATCATTTGAGCACAAGGGTCATCATGGCTTTGCCCTTCATGAAGACACAGTCGAGGAAGAAGAAGAAGAAGAAGAAGAAGAAGAATCATCGAAACCCAAGATTCAGGAAACTGAGATTTTGGTTCCGAGATGTCCCAAGTGTGGTGAAATTGCTGCTGGGCTTGAACAGCAGCCAATTACAGTTTCAGAGGTTGAATTTGCAAAGCCAACAGAGAAAAGGAAGAGGAGGAGAAGGAGAAGAAGCAACAGAAAAGTCCTGGGAGAGCTTGATTTGGGGCTCCATTGCAAATTGGCTTATGAGTCTTCGTTTTCCGAAGAAAATATTGCACGTCCGATTCCAAACTCTGAAACACCACGGTATACTAAAATGCCTCCTTTGAATGATGGGTTGGCCATGAAACAGCACCTTAAATCGTGGGCTTATGCAGTGGCATGTACCGTCAAATGAATGTTGGTGCTTGCTTGCTTCAACTTAGATCCCTCAAAATTTTCTTCCATTATTTGCTAAGTTTCTGCCCCCCTTTGTTTCTCTTATTATGCAACTCATCCACATGACTGTTAACTCTCTCTCTCTCTCTCTCTCTTCTTTTTTTAGGTTCTTAGTATATTTGTTTTGCAGTTCTTAGTATATTTGTTTTGCTTTACGATCAGAATATATAGATGCCATAACCAAATGTTAACTAATATAATTAAGAGCGAAGACAGTTTCATGCTCTATTAACAGTGACTGGGTGTTTAATGAGTCAAGTAGTTCGTGAACAATTCGAATTTTACCACGTTAAAATTTAATAAAAGTTCAACTTGAATTAACTCGACTTAAAGTTGAGTTTGAATCGAATCCTTAACGAATTGAATCCACAAAGTTCAACTTGATTATATAAGTTCGTGAGCTAATCGTTAATATTTTTATAACTTTTTAATAGTTATCTTAAAATTTATTTTATTAAAATATTACTAATTTACTAATAGATAATAAAAATAATGATAAATTACTAATCTATTACTTTTCTGATAAATAGTTAAGAATATTAAATTATTAATTAATAATTATTATTTTATTACACTTAAAAATCATACTCTAATTATTATTTTAATGCGTTTATGAATTGTTATTGTGTTTAGACTTTGAATATGTTTCATACACTTTTGATAATTTTTTTGTTAAATTTATTCATTTATGTTTATATTAAGTTCTATATGGTATTAATAGATTTTACTTAGAATTAAAAAATTAAAATAAAATATTCAGTGAGCTTAATGAGTTACAAGGCGAGCAATGAACTTAATGAGTTTAACATGCAACGAGTCGAGTAACAATTTTCTTAACGAGCATGAGTCAAGCAACAAATTTTCTTAACGAGCATGAGTCAAACAAAATTTTATAAAAGCTTAACGAGCAACGAGTTGAGTAACAATTTTTTTTAACGAGCACGAGTAGAGCGATTGACTCGCTTGAAAATCACCCTAACTATGACACCATAGTAAAGATATATGACAACACGATTGAGAATGAATATTACAAGGTTACTCAAAGAACCATAAACAAAACAGCTACCAAAGACCATGGTATTGGTGTCGATTTTGGTAGAGTTGGCTCCAATGAAATCTTGTAGGCAGAAAAAAATGCAAGGTTACTCAACTCAACTCGAGAGTTGGCTCTCGAAATTGTCTTGTTTGGTACGAGAGCCATGCATTTAAACATGAGGATATGGTAGCTAACATGTCCCTTTCATTTTCATCTGAACAACCACCAACCAGCAGCTGCTCAACTAGAAGAGAAAAATATTGGTCTCAGACTGGGAAATTCAATCTCCAGCATCAAATGACCTCCTGCCCTAAAATTTTAACCTTTTATTTCAACCATTGAAATGGTGGTCCTCATGTTCACCTGCAATCCTCACCATATGCAAAAGGAGGCAACAACATAATTTTCGCTATATCTTTTTAAATTTATCCAGGTCTTACGTTTCTGTCATATGCAGAGATTTTTACGCAGTAATTTATTTATAGGGATTACTTCCTATTACAAACGCGGATCTGAAGACTGCATAAAAAGACTGTTCAACTATGTATTTATTTATTTATTTATGCATGCATTGTGTTTTATATTTATTTTAATTTTCTGACTGCCGGATGTCTTCTACGGAAGCTGCTCTCAACCTGGCGCTGGGGGCAGCCTACTACCCTACCTCCTTCCTACCCATTGCATATGGGAATAGGGTTTTGTTGTTGTTGTTTATTGAAATGGTCCATTAATCACCAGATCATGGAAAAGAATGTGACTTAATACTTTGGACCCTTTGGCCGTGAAAAGGCATATGTTTAATTATGAATGATTGAACCAACTCTACCTGCAATCCTCACCATATGCAAAAGGAGGCAACAGTATGATTTTCGCTATATCTTAATTGCTACTCATCTTGGTACCGATGACTTATGTCTAATGATTTTGACCTGTAAAAGGAGAGGAAGCTAAGCTAAGATCCCAAACATGCATGTATGATTGACATAAATGATGATGAGTGAGTGCTTCTCTAAGAAGTTATCTACAACTTGAATATTCATTAGTTTATTACTTTAACAAGTCCTAATTATTCATTAATTTAACAAGTACTCATAGAATGTCAGTCACCTAAACTTCAAGCTTACAAAATTCATCAAAAAGTAAGTGCTTTCCCAACTTCACTCCACTAATTTATTCTTGCCTCTAACCTTGAAAAAATTCTCTTAGATTTCTCCTATAAAAGCTTCAAATAACAGATGTGTATTATCATATAAGCTTCCAATATCATTTCAAACAAATATGAATCATGCCTGAATATGAAAATCTTACCTTTCTTTATTTTTATTTTTTGAATTGGTCTAACGATTTTATTAGCAAGGGATGTGATTAGTATATATATGTATAGTTTGAGATAAAATTGAAATATTAAAAAGTTTGAGGAGTAATTTAGAATGAAGATCATAGTTTGGGGACTAATTTAGAATGAATATCATAGTTTAGATGAAATTAAAATTTTCAAAAGTTTGAAGATTAATTTAGAATGAAAACCATAATTTAAGGATGAAATTAAAATATTTAAAAGTTTAAGAACAAATTTAGAAGTTAACTCTTCAAACTATATTTACCTATTTATATTTTAAACAAAATCCTTAAAACAACGTGTATTAATCTTCAAGTTATAAATGATAAAAGGGTAAAATACACAAATGGTCACCTGGTTATAGGTTGTTATTTTGTTGAGTCTCGATTAATAAAAATTAAAATAACCCCTTAACTATAAGAAATTGTTTTGTTAAGTCTTTTGACTATTAAAGTTACAAAATGGTCACTCGACTATTCATATGTTCCAATTTGTCGTTGCTTTCAAGGATTTACTCGACAACACAATGTTTTAAGCATTGACTCAATAACATAATGTAATGGAAAGTCAATATACCAAATACTGTTCAAACGATTATGAGGTCATATTTTATCATATCTTAATCAATATTTTAACGTACAATTCAGATGACTACCAATTTTCTAATAGAAAATGATGAGTTTAGAATATATAAATAGATAGTGACTATTTTATAATATTTAGTAGTCGTGACTATGGCCATGAACCATAATATTTAGACAATATAAAATATTTTGGATAAATTACGTATTTAGTATCTAAACTATCAGATTTGGTTTGTTTTAGTACCTAACTTTTAAATTTTTTTAAAAATAATACCTAAAGTTTAGGTATTAAAAATGATCAAAAATGATAATTTAGATACTAAATGTGTTGTTTACCTAAATATTTTAATTTAAACATATGCCAATAACCTGAACATTGATCATAAGTAGTAATTACCTGGACGTTAACTAACTGATTAAGATATAATAAAATCATATTTTAATGTGTTTACTAGTACCGTAGTTACTTTCAAGCACTGACTCAACGACACAATGTTTCAAACACTAACTCAATGACATAATATAAATATAGAGTTAATCGATAATATACAACTCAAACGATTATGATATTAAATTTTATCAAATCTCAATTAATATATTAATGTCTAGTTTAGACAATCATTAATTTTTTAATAATAAAAAATAAATTTAAAATATATAAATAATCAAATAATTGTTTTATATATTTTAATAATCATTAGTTTCAATAAAATGATATCCTTTAATCATGAGACCATAATATTTAGACATTATAAAAATATTTTTATTTAAAAGTAAGTCAATAACCTGAACATTGATCATAAGTCGTAATTAGCAAGGTCTTCACCAACTGTGAAACCCCACCCTTTCCCTCCTTAACTGCTCTCTTCTGTATGTCTTCTCCTTCGCTTCCACTCTCACACACACTCTGTCTCCCCCATGAAAACACCGCCGTCATTCTTCCTCCTTCACCTCCTCTTTCTTCTTTCCACCACCACCACTCTCTCCGCCGCTTCCACCACAAATGCCACCAAACCAGCAACCCCCACACTCTCCCCTACTCCACCACCCACCACCAAAACTCTTCTCTAGACCCCAAACAAATACGAGCGCTCGAATCCCTCAACATCCCCACCGCAAGAGACCCTTGCGTTCAACCTTCCCTCACAACGCCACCGTCTGTGACACCTCCAAGCCTTTCCGCCACCTCATTTCCCTCCACCTCCGACTGCTCCCGACCTTTCCTCACCTCCACAGCTCTCAAGTCTCTTCCCTCTCTTCTCTCTCCTTCACCAACTGTCGAGCCTCCCCTGTCCGCTTTCCTTCCGATCTATCTCTTTCCTTGACTTCCTTCTTGCATTCACTCCCTCCACCGCCTCACCGGCGTCTGGCTGTCGCGTTTCGTTAACCTTACTGACCTCACAGTTTTCTACACTCCGATCAACACTCGGGGACTTTATGTAATCGTCGCGAACATGCATAAGCTGAAGACTCTTACCATTTCTCACGCAAATCTTTCGGGTTCCCTTCCGAGGCACCTGCATCTGAATCTTACCCATGTTGATTTATCCAACAACAAGCTCAAAGGAAATATACCAACTTCCCTTACGATTCTGGAAGACCTTGAATTCTTGAATCTTTCTTCAAATAAGCTACATGGGGTGATTCCCACCGAGTTTGGCGACTTGATATCGTTGAAAATGTATCTTTGGCTTCCAATTCGTTTTCTGGGTCAATCCCAGATTCCATGTCAGCTATTCCAGGCTTGGTTCATGTTGATCTGAGTAACAACCAGCTAAACGGAACAGTTCCAAAGTTTTTCTCAGAGTTGAAAGGGCTGAAAGTGTTGAACCTTGAGAACAACGAGCTCCATGGGGTGTTACCTTTCAATGCTAGTTTCATAAAGAGATTGGATGTTGTCAAGCTTGGTGGGAATGGAAATCTGTGTTACAATCACTCTGTTTTGTCATCAAAATGAACCTTGGGATTGCTTGTGATAAGCATGGCTTGCCGGTATCACCGCTGCCTTCCAAAGAGTCTTCCAGAGACAATGACAGTGCTTCGGATTATGACGACGACACCGGTAGTGCTGACGATACAAGTGAGAAAAAGAAACATCATCACGGGCCAAACAAGGTTGT